GAGACTGTGAGGGCTTCCAAATCACAGTAGAAAAGACCACCTTTTCTCTCTCAGTTGATCTGGTGGGAACTGTCCTTCCAACTTGTAAAAGTCAAAATTCTGAAGTGTGTGCACATCATGCCTTTTGTTAGGTCAGTTGTTGTAGCTGATCAGGCTTCATCACCAGGGCCTGCATTACACTGAAGCAATAATTGCTTGGTTATGGGGGTGTTTCTGTTTTAATGCTGCTTGCAGCTCAGTAATGAACAAGTGAGTCTGATCTGTAGCTCTGCTACAGCTGTCAAAACCCTGTTTGATCTAGAAAATAAGTCAGTGAGCAGTGATATTTCTGAGTCACTTATGCAGTATTATATGCACCTGTAGTTGAACAGATTGGAGAAATGTGGCCATTCTATTTTTGTCCAACTACAGGTTGTACTCCAGTATTGAATGAATATGCTTTTCAGATTCTGTTAGTTCCCTTCACTAATAATCTGAATAAAGCATTCCTATTGCCCAGTCTCGGTCTTATCTTTTAATGGTTTCTTATAGTATAGTCCATTTTATTGTTTTTGTAAATAATTATTTATAAGAGTCTGTCTAACAATAGTTTTAAATTATAGTAATTATAAAGGGAGTTTACCAATGATAACAGGGTACAAACTTTTAGTAACAGCTTTTGATCCATCTTCTTCTATATAAGAACTATCTTCTTGAAAGTTTAAAACTTGTGCTAGTCTTTGGTTTAGTTTGGATTGTGTACACTTTTGACAGCTGCTTCTCGTTCTACCTAATGTTGCTATTTTTCGCCTGTACTTTGTACACGAAGACATTTTGGTACCCTGAGGTCTAATGTTGTAAAGACTCTGGACTGCTTTGTGTATAAGGTCAATGCATATGCTTAGTTATCAATTAAATGCATGCACAATTGGGGCCTGAGTGAGCAGAGTCTATTTTTTTGGCATTATTATTTTATAATAAGGTAAAACCTCTCTACTGTAATTCACAACTTATTTGGGTAACTTCACCTTCCTGAATGCATTTCCATAGCTTTTGCTTTGTTGCAGTTTGATTTTGGGGTCTTCCCCTCCCTGCAATTCCTTATGGCTTGAAAACCTATTAACAGACACAGAGAGTGGAAGCTGCTGTTTTTTGTGCCCGTGTAATGTTTTCTGCAGGTTTTCCTACTATAATTTAATAGAAGAATTTATCCTAATAGTAGAACTCCTCCCTGGCAAAAAGGTTTTCTTTTTTTACGCTTTTCAGAGGTGGACTAGAAAATGTTATATGGGCCTCAAGTTCTTTGATCTCTGAGGAGACTAGTAGTTGCTTGACTGGTTCAGCTTGGAATAGGAGCTAGGAATAGCATCACTCAGGGATTCTTCTATCCTTTCCAGAGGGAGTGAAGCTACCATTCTGCCTTGGCTGGGTAGGGTGGGAGAGAAATGATTATAATCCCCTTAGCCAGTTAAATGCTCTATTCCATCTGATGCTCAATGATTGAGTTCTAAGGGGATAACTCGGTGAGACATACTTGTAGTAAAGTGAAGCTTCACTACAAGTTTTGAAAGCTAGTTGAATTCACTGAAGCAATTTGGGATGCTTTATTTTGTATTTTATAGAACCTGTAAACTTGCTGCTTGTTGAAGGGAAAATACACTCTCCTTGCACGCATGGAAAATTAGATCTTTGTGCAAAGGAATTTGAAATCTAAATGTTAATACTCCATTTCTTTTTTAATAAAAATTTTACTGAAACTTAATTCTGCTTGAAGTATTCCACATGTAGTATTTTCAATATTGTTGTGCATTTATTGTGTAAAACAGGTAAAATTTGATATTCGGTCTTTATCAATGCATTTCTTCAGAGCAAAAAACGTCATCTGTTTGAAAAGAGCATGAAAGTTGTGGGATTATAAAAATTCTTGATAAATACTGTATTGGGTTCCCATGTTAATGGAGATTACAGTCTATTTATATGTTGGAAGTAGCAAATGATCTTCAGCGTCATGAGGGATGAGTTGTTCACTTCAAAGACTTGGTACTGGGCTGTTCTTACCCTACAGAGAGATTTGACCAATAAAGCTGAAATGCATGACCTGTGCTCCTTAAGGAGCAAGTATTAAAATTAGAGGTGCACTGATACATAGTTATGATTTATTGGATTGGCACCAATATAAAGAAAATTGACTATAGCAGAAATTGGCTTGTAGTGGCTAATAATTTGGCCGATTTTTAAATGCTCGTGCACTCATCGCAGCACAGCATGCAGGCCGCAAGGAACACAAGCCAGCAGCTTAGAGAGCTGCTTTCAGCTGGTATATCTGGTGTGGTAAAAGGGGACAGGGGAAGGAAGGGGTGTAGGGGTGACAAATCAATACCCCTTGCGGTGAGGGAGGGAGTGGGGCTGGGGTAGGCTGTGCCCAGCAGGGACGGGGTGGGCGCGGGACAAAGCCACAGCTTGTCGGGGGGGGGGGGGGGGGGGG